ACAGGAGCACCCTGCAGCAAGCCCAGCAGGGCAGTCCTCGTCCTTCTCTCCCCACTGACCGGAGCAGAGCCCTCCCGGCAGGGGGCAGGCGGCGCAGCAGGAGGGGCCGCGTGGCAGCGCCCCGCTGTAGCCCTGGCCGCCCCCCTTCTCTCTCTCCCCCCGCTCCCTCCCCCTCTCCCCCCCCGCTAGCCGGTCCCCCTGCACCCGCGCTCCCGCTATTCGGTAAATAGTGTCATCTTTTACAGTCCCAGGGCTTTCATTGGGAACCCTTATGGTTTGAAATGGGCTTCATTTTTAAATTGTACTTGGAGGTAGCTAGTCTTTCCCACCCCCTCTACTGAAAACTCTACAAGCCAGTGCCTGATTCCCTAGTACTGCCTGGATTTGCTGTGTTCACTGCTCATGCTGCCATTACACCAGCAGAGGGTGCTGTTGCTCTTGCAGAGACTCTCAGGTCAGGTGCTGAGATGTCGGTGTTGCCTTACTTTTAACATTCAAAACTGAATAGGGTTTATTTTACTGATCAGTCACTTGCATCCGGCCTCCTCCACTGTCTCTCTTTCCCCCCCTCCGCCCCAGCTACTGTTTAGCACAAGCTGGCAGGAGAGACATTTCTCCCAAGTCAAGTGCAAGGATCTGAATGGATCTCGGCTAAGGACTCTTACCTCTTATGCTTCTTTTTTTTCTTTTTTTTAATTCCCTGGTCATGTCTGTGCAGAGATAATTTCCATTTTCTGAATTGTGGCCATCTAGTAAGATGTCGCAGGTTCACAAGTGGTCTTACTATTAATTTATATTCTAGGAGGGCCTCAAATCTCCACCTGAGACCAGGGCACCTATGTGCTAAGTGCTGTACACACTCAGGTTGGGACAATCCCTGCCCTCAAGAGCCTTCAGTCTCACCAGACAAGATAGGCGTAGCATGGGACGGGGAAGGGTTTTGCCCAAGGCCACACACAAGTGAGTGGTTGAGCAGGAAATAGAACCCAGGTCTCCAGACAGCCTGTCTGGTGCCCAATCTGCTAGGCCCCACTTTCTTTTGTAAAGCTGAGTGGCATGTAAACGCCCAGTAAGCTTCCAAAGCTTGGCTGATAAACATTTTATATGGTGCCCATGTTTTACGGTTCCTCCTTTAAAACCCCCACCACTTCCCTGCTATAGAGCAGCAATTCTTCCCCCGCCCCCTCTCATTGGCATTACAGAGCAGCAATTGAAATCCCTCCCAGTTCAAGTTTGACAGGGAGGGTAAAGTTCTTACGAGTCACGTGACATGTGAGTTACAAAGACACATTAAAACTAGGTTAACCTAGGATTGAAACCTCCGTGGAGGAGGGGAAAGTTCACCAAGGAGGACTGAAGGAGGATTAAGTAATGTGTATAACGTGACTCTGACCTTGCACAGCAGTTAGAAAACACTGCTGGTCTTAGTTCCTGCTTTATTACTGTAAACAATGATTGTGTGTAGAGCTGTGCCAACTGCCTTTTAGGGCCCATCTGCCCCTCCCCTGTAGTGCTACAGATGCTGTAGTGACAAGAGCCATGTAAATACCAAGAGAGAGCTCCAAGCCTTACTGCACCTTATTACTATGCTGTTCTCACTGTTTAAAACAATCTCTGCGTGAGTCAGGCGCCTACGTTTTAGACAATCATTGCTGTCCATTTATCACCACCCCTTGGAA